TCGGAATGCTTTAAGGAGCCCCCGACAACCTGACCCGCAACGCGTTACTGCGCGCGCGAGGGCGGGGCATGGAAGGCGAAGGGGCCAATCATTCCCCTGGGCTAAGACCGAGCCGGCACAGCAGGAACCCATGGCCGAGCCGTTGGGTGCTCGAGGAAAACTGAGGAGCACCCGCTGTGGACGAACGTAAGTCTACGGATCAAACGATCGAACTCGCTGTCCTTGGGGACTCGAAAAGCTCCGCGCGCCACTTCCCAGCAGAGATCCGCAGCTGGGGTGAGGTACAGAGCGCCGCAGGCGTCCCATTTGTGAAGGAGAGCCCAGAGGTCTGCGCGGTCCATGTGGACGCGCGCCCCCTGCTGGCCCGCAGGCCACTCTGCCCTCGGGGGCCCCATGACAGGGCCCAGAAACGCCCTGCGCACGACCGGGTCGGACAGAAAGGGAGTGGAATCAAATTTGGGCGAATAATCCCACTTCGCGCGAAACGCCCTGACCGGGTGGGCGCGGGCGGAGCCCCGCGGCGCCGCGGCGGCAAGTGGCCCGGGCACAGGGGGCGCCGATGAAGGACACTGCCGCGCGGGTGCCGGGACGGCGGGAGAGGAGGTGAAGGGGGCCCCCAGAGCTGCAACATGGGCGGCCAGGCCATGGAGCGAGACCACGGTGACGGCGGCATCGAACTCAAAATAGGCTCGACAAAAAGTCGCTCTGACACCCTCGGGCAACGCGAACTGCCATCCGGCGCGCGCTACGCGGCAGCGCGCGCCCTCCTGGCAGGGCGAGACCGCCGCTCGCACATGCGAGGCTCGGCTGGCCGAGGGTCAGCCAGTTTAGCGCAGTCATGGCGAGTTGAGCAAGCGCGCGCGAGCTGTGCGCCTGGGCGCCACTGCTCCCGCGCGCGGCCGACCAAAGAAGCAGGCGGCGGCAGGATAGGTGGAACTGGAAGGCACGGCCATGGATCGCGAGGAAGCGGCGCAGCGAAAGAACCGCCCCGGCCCGACGGGCGTCGAGCGAGAGAAAGACACCAGGGAACACCGCACCCCCAAACCGACCTGGAACAAAGCAGCCGCCCAGTGGGCGATGTCGATGTTCGCGCCAGGGGATTGGCGCAGCAAGACGACAGATCCGCGATCAAGGGGGCGGCCTAATCGGCCGAAGCCGAGGCCTGGGGCGAGGCGGGGGCCGAGCATTGCTTCGTGGCAAGAGCACGGGGGCGACCTGAAGAAGGCGAGAGGCACGGCGGCCCCCCCGAAGCAGGGGCAGGCGAAGTCTTTCCAGCACCCGCGGGCACGTCGCCGAGAAAGGGCGGACCCAGGTGGTCCGATGAGGCAACCGCGCCAGGAGCTGACGAACTAAGATCGCGCGGGCATAACGACCCCCCCCCTGCGGCGGCGCAGCGCGCTCGCTAGCGAAGCGCGCCCCCACCTTCGCGACCTCGCTCGACCCAGGCTCTCCCGGCAGCTGCAGCGGGCGAAAGGAGGGGGCTGCGAGAGCCAACGCGGCTGGCAGAACGGCGAGACGTCCGAGAATATGCGGCCACGTCGCGGCCGGCGGGGCGCGCCCCCCCCCGCGGCGGCGCGGCGCCCACGCCAGAGACGCCCACTCCAACCTCCACGACCGAACTCGGCCCCACCGCGCCCAGCAAGACGGACGTCAGCGGAGCAGGCTGACGGGCGGGGGACAGAGCCCCGCGGACCGCCCGAAGTGGCGGCCCCTCGGCCCCACGGTGGCTCGGCGCCCGCCTTGGCCTTGGGCGGGGTCGCCCCCGTCGGCCCCGGCCTCGCTTTTGCATCCGCCCGTGGGCCAAAGATCAGAGCCTTCGAAGCCGACGCCCGCTCCGAGCCAAGGCGGGAACGGGACGAGGTCAGCCCCTTCGTACACTCGCCCTGGGCCGACAGCCAGCGCGGGCGCATCAGCGGTGAGAACGGGACGCGAGCCCCCCCCCTGCGCGCAGGCGCGCCACGTGCGCCGGCGGCCCTCCGAGCCCGCCAAGAACCGCGCCGCCTCGCGGTGCCCGCGATCCCCCGCCAGCTGACCCACCAACATGCACTGGCATGATAGCAGAGTCTGGACGCGCGCTGCGCCCCCCTCCTCGCTGGCTCGCCATATCTCGGCACTCTGCCACGCGAAGCGGGTCAGCAGCTCGCGGGTCGACGTCTGACTGCCCAGAGGAGCCTGCCCCCGCAAGTACAGGAACATATCGACGGGCGACGCGTCTTCCAGGCGAACCCCGAGAGCACGAGCAAAATTCTACTTCGTTGTTTCGCCAACTCGCGGCCCGCGATGAGCGAGCGCACGCCGCCGCTCGCGACGTCGCGCAACGCCCCTCATCTGAGTCATCCGGGACGCGCCCACCGAGCGGCGCCAGAGCCCGCTCGGTAAGCGAGCCCAGCAAGGAGATGGTTCGCCGCTCCCGGGGCCCGCTGGCGGGCGAGAACTTCTCGCGGGCACGCCGGCGCAAGGTCCAGCGTCGACGTCGCGGTCGCAGCTGGATCCGAAGGCCCTCCCGCGGCGGCCTCCTCGGCGGGGGCGGATCCCCGGCCAGGGGCGGGAAGCGCCCACCCGCGAACGGGTTCGGAAGCGACGGGGCCTTGACGCGCCCGCGGGTCGCGGGGCCCCCCGCGCTGCCGCCAGCGCAGAGGCGGGGGCGCCCGCCTTGGCCTGCGCCTGCTGCAGGGCGGGAGGAGCCCGCGTCGCGAAGCTCTGCAGGTCGCGCAGCGGGATCCCGAGACGGGCGGCCTCGCCCTCGCACAGCTGATGGGGCGTCGCGACGGAGCGCCCGGGCTGTCTGCACAGGCCCCACCCGAGGCAGCGCTGGAGCCCGGTGCGGCATGGCCGCCTGAGCAGCCATCGTCGCACGCATCTCGGCCACGACCTCCGTTTTGGTCATAGGGGCGCTCTCGCCCAGGGCTGCGACCGCCCGACTGGGAGCTCGCGGCTGCGCATCCAGGGGGGCGAGGCCGCGATCCCTGCGTAGACACTCGGGCGCCTCGGAGGAGGGGCCGCCGCTGGGGCCGCGGGCTCGCGCTCGCCGTCGCCCGCCGCCCCCCGATCCGACGTGGATCCGATCTCCTCGACGCCCTCCGACGCCGCGTGGCACGGCGCCGCCCGCCCGCCCCACGGCAAGTCCTCCTCGCCGTCGGCGGGGGGGGGGGCTCCGCGGAGCGCGGCGAACTGCTCGCGGAGCAGCCCCACCATGGACGGGCGCGGCCAGCAACCCCGACTCCGCACCGCAGCGAACGGGACGGGGTCCGCTGGCAGGGCCGCGGGCAGCGGCGCCAAGGACTCGAGCTCCAGCTCGTCGACGCCCACGTCGGTCACCAGGACGGAGGCCGCGGTGGCCAGCAAGGAGCGGCACATCCAGCACCAAGCACGGGCCCAGCAATCCAGAGATGCGCCCCCCCCCACGGCCGCCAGCTCGGCAGCCGAGCGAAAAGACTAGGGAAGAGCGAGCAACGCGCCACCATCCCGCTGAGCAAGCGGTATTGCGGCGAAGCTGCGGTCCCCCTCGTCGAATCGTCACCTGTCGTAGCTCGTCGCAGATGGCGCCTCGAATGGATGGAGCTCGGGCCACGGGGGGCCATCTGGCAACGCTGGCGTTGCGGCCATCGTCACCATCGCTTAGGGGCCCTCGCACCCACCGTTACATGCGTCGGACCCGCGGCGGAACTGACAGTGCGCACGTCGCGGGTGAACCAACGCGGGCGGCCCGAAGACAGACCCCAGGGAACGAACCCCGAAGCGGCGACGCTGGTCGAAGGGCCGACGCCGCCGTGCCGCGCAAGGCGGCTTGGTGGCCAGGGCCGTAGGCCAAGGCTCGAGCAGGTGCCCTCGAAGGCGCTGGGGTTGGCGCGCCCAACGCACCGCGAACGCGAGCCAGGAAAGGGCTCGCACAGCAGACCGCCAGGCCCGCGAGACAGCAGCCCCCGCAGAAGCTGCAACAGGCGGCCACTCCCAGAAGCGAGAGGACCATCGCGAGCAGCAAAGGGGAGAGACCCCGCCGCTCAAGTCCACCGCCAGCCCGAGGCAGACGGTGGGGCAGACGGTGGGACAGGCGACGGAAGCCTCGAGAGCAGGGCACTCCGCCGCTGCCCCGAGGCCCGCCACCTGAGACTGCAAGGAGGTCCCGAACGCTGGGGCCTTCTGGTCCGTCAAAAGTCAAGGGCAATGGGCGGCCAGCGGGCCGCTCGAGGAGCGCGGCTCGCAGACCCTGGACGAGCAGGGACCGCCCGCCTCCACCAACAGCTTGACGGCGCGCTGCATCAGCGGACCGCGGGCCGAAGGGGGGGGGCGACCACTGGCCGGAAATCACTGCAGAGACCGCGGGGGAAGTCGCAGAGAATATGAAAAAACAAGGCCCTGCCATTTCCAGGGCCGCACCAGCGGAAGCCACGGGGGCTCTCCGACGACACCGCCGCTGCCGCGGCCGACGACGACGACGAGGATGCCGACGCCGATGCCGACGCCGACGCCGTTGCCATCAGGAACCACCAGCGGTAGGAGCCAAAGGGGGTCCCACTGGTGGTGTGGTCCCCGCCTCTCGTTCGAGACACCCCGCATCCCCAGATCAGAGAGGCATCGCGGATCTCCTCGCTGGAGGTGGCCCCCATTGGTGGTGGTGGTGGTGGTGGTGGTGGTGGTGGTGGTGGTGGTGGTGGTGGTGGTGGTGGTGGTGGTGGTGGTGGTGGTGGTGGTGGTGGTGGTGATGGTGGTGGTGGTGGTGGTGGTGGCGGTGGTGGCGGTGGTGGTGGTGATGGTGGTGGTGGTGATGGTGGTGGTAGTGGTGGTAGTGATGGTGGTGGTGGTGGCGGTGGTGGCGGTGGTGGTGGTGTCGATTCTCCTTCTCCCAATCTGCCCTCAGCAGGCCGTCGATGAGCGCCTCCAACGCGTGGTTGCGCGCCGCGCCCGTCACCTTCGCTCGGCAGACCTCACGAAGTGGCTAACGTACATACATCCACGCCCTCGCGGTCTGGATTCTGGGGCGCGGTCCCGCGGATACGCGGTCACGGCTCAGGAGCCCAGCCCGCGAGGCCGGGAATACAGAGATGTTCCTCGCCCACGAAGACTGGGCAGCTAAGCTTCGACTGGAGGCAGGTGCCAAGGCAGGAGCTGCAGAAGGTGTGCATGCACGGCTGTGCGCTTGCGGCGCGGTGGATCACCTCCTGCTGAGGGAACAGACGGTACTGGCATGCTACAACTCCCCACGCCCCTCTTGGGGTGCTTTAGGACCAGCGCGTCGAGGAGAATCCAGTCGTGGTGACGAAGAATCTCTAGGTCGAGCAGCGGTACCCCAGGTATCCCATGGCATCCGATGTCTTGATTTTCAAATACGCGGTCCACCTCGGAAGTCCCGACTCCTTCCCCGTGGCCGGTTCTTCGCCCAGAACCGTTCCTTGACGAGCCCAGGGTCCGGCGAGGGCATCCAGAGGCCGAACACTGCGGCAATTCGTGAAGCGTATGTCTTGATTGCCGTCCATCCCTTGGAGGCCCGGGTATCATTCCCCCCTCTGGCTCCTGACAGATGGCGCACATCGCGCCGTGGAACAGCGCGCCCTCGGCGGGCACGCCGAGGCGGCGCCGCTTGGCCTCGGCCAGCTCGCCCGAGGCAGCAGCGCCCGGCGGCTGCTCGTCTGGCGGAGGCCCGGGCGCCGCCCCCGAGAAGGCCGCGCTGCAGGCTCTGGCTCCGGCGTGCCCCTCCGAGGAGGAGGAGGAGGAGGAGGAGGAAGAGGAGGAGGAACCGGAGGGGGGGGGAGGAGGGAGGAGGGAGGAGGAGGAGGAGAGGAGGGGGAGAGGGAGGGGGGGAGGGGGGAGGAAGAGGGAGGAGGCAGAAGGGAGGAGGGAGGAGGAGGAGGAGGAGGAGGAGGAGGGAGGAGGAAGGAGGAGGAGCAGGAGGAGTAGGAGAGGAGGAGGAGGAGAGGAGGAGAAGGAGAGAGTAGGAGGGAGAGGGGAAGGAGGAGGAGGAGGACGGGAAAAGGGAGGAGGCGGGGGAGGAGGAGGGAGGAGAAGGCAGCAGAGGAGGGAAGGGACGGACGGGGAGGAATCTGATGAGAAAGGCGGCGTTGACGGGAGAGGGGGTGCGGACCAGAGCAGAGCCCGTCGCCCGCCGCTCCGCGGCGCCCTCGCCCAGAGGGCCGCCGAGCGGCGGAGGCCTAGGCGCCGCCCCAGAGGAGGCCGCCGCGCTGCAGGCTGCAGCGCCGGCGGGCCCCGTCCGCCAGTCCTTCGCTGGGGAGCCTAAACGATCGGGGCGTGAATTCCTGGGGGAGGCGGTGATAATCCCTCCAGCCCTCTGGGCGTACAGTCGGGGCGCTGACCTAAGGAACCCTAAAGAAGGAACGAGGCCCCTATTTTCCATAGGTTTAACTTCGACTTCCTGTCGAAAACATAAGGAAAGCCTGAGGCAAGCTGCGAAACAATTAAGGAACACGGAGCCCCTCCCCAACGAAAAGGGTTCCTTCTTCAGGGCCCCGACTGTAATCCCTCCAGCCCTCTGGGCGTAGGCGGTCTAGAGCGTTGCCTCTTCGACCCCCCCTTCTTCCCCTTCGGAGAGGGGTTCACCCCTGCGCCTTACCCCCTCCCCTGGACCTGGAGGGGTGCGATCGCGGGCCGTTGGAGCGTCCAAGATGGCCCCAGATGGCTCCGAGAGGGCGTAAAGAGCCCAAGATGACTTACAAGATTGCTCAAAATATCCCAAGATGCGTCAGATGGCTCCCAAGATGCTCCAAGAGGCCCGACGACCGCTTCAAGACGGCTCCCAGCGTGCACGGAGCCTCCTCAGGAGGCCGCCAAGAAGCCAAAGTCCTTCAAACACCATCCGAAATTCCATGAATTGTGCTTTCTCGCCCGTTCGCTTCCGATGGCCTTCCGAGGCCTCCAGACAGCTCCAAGAGGGCCCATGAGGGCCCCAAGAGAGGCCCCAGAGAGCCCCAAGACGGCCCCAAGAGCGCTCAAGAGCGCTCCAAGAGCGCTTCAAGAGGAGCCCAAGAGGTGATTGTTGGGGTGTCCGACGGGGGAGGCTAATTGAAGCTCCCCCCTTCTTTGATCGATCTCCTCCAAGATGACCCCAAGAGGCGCCCAGGAGGCCCCAAGAGGCCCCAAGATGGCCCGAAGATGGCTCCAAGATGGCCCCAAGGGCCTCCAGGACCAGGAGGCCCCCAAGAGGACCTCAAGCGGCCCCAAGAGGCCCCCCCGAGGCACCCAAGACACCCAAGAGCCCCCCAGGACCGCCGAGAGACCCCCAAGACGTCCCAAGAGGCCTCCAAGAAGCGCCCAAGAGATATCCCAAGAGGCTCCGAGGGGCATCAAAGAGACCTCTGGCCCTTTTGTTTGCCCTCCTCGTCCTACTCCTCTGTCTTCCTCCTACTCCTTCTCCTCCTCCTCCTCCTCCTCCTCCCCCACATCAGCATCATCATCAATCATCATCATCATCATCATCATCATCATCATCATCATCATCATCATCATCATCATCATCATCATCATCATCATCATCATCGCATCATCATCATCATCATCATCATCATCGTCATCATCATCATCATCATCATCATCATCATCAGCATCATCATCATCATCATCATCATCATCATCATCATCATCATCGTCATCATCATCATCAGCATCATCATCATCATTATCATCATCATCATTGTCAGCATCATCATCATCATAATCATCATCATCACCAGCATCATCATCATCAGCATCATCATCATCATCATCAGCATCATCATCAGCAGCAGCATCATCAGCATCATCAGCATCATCATCATCAGCATCATCAGCAGCATCATCATCATATTCATCAGCATCATCATCGCAACCATCATCATCATCATCAGCAGCAACATCATCAGCATCAGCACCATCATCCTATGCATCTTCCTTCTCCCCACTCCCTCATCCATCCGTACAGCATCCTCCTTCTCCTCCTCCCTCCTTCGCACGGTTCGGCCGTCCACCTCTGTGCTCCCGCACTTCCCTGATCACCTCAACTCGCCTGGGCATCGATTCTGGATAGGCTGGTGGGGATACGCGAAGCGTAAATATATATATATATATATATATATATATATATATATATATATGTATATAGACATACAGATGTAAGAAAAGTAAAGATAACTGAAAACAACAACAACAACAACGACAACATCAACCACAACCACAACCACAACCACAACAACAACAACAACAACAACAATCATTTTACCCGAACGCTCAGTGTTCTCCCCAGTGCCAGGGTTTTCTTGCGACACCAGCCAATACCCCCACTTCGTGGGGGGGCCGTTCAAGCTCTACCAAATATCCAAACGACTCTTCGAGACCACCCACACCCAGCTTCCCGCCCTATGACGTTGGGACACTTCACTTCGTGGCGTGCGGACGACCCTGGCTACTACACTGGCGTGGGGTACACACCCACAGAGGTTGATCACATCTGTTACATATGATGTGGTACACGGTACACGTGAGATGGTACGCAGTGCCAAGATAGTTGGTCACATTTTTGGGGCAAATTCGTGGGGATGCGATTACAGAAGTACATGTGTTACACTGATGTTATACAGTCCCAAGGATGACGCATGCATTGCTCATAGACTCATGGCGCTATGATCCTAACTCTCAGTGCCCAACGCGCGCGTGCACAGCCAGACGGAGGGAGAGAAACACATGTATACAAGGTTCGTGACATACGCACGGTCCACCATGTTGTAAACGATCGCATGCACGGTAAGTTCTGAAATTATACGTATGTACAAGCAGACATGCGAGGGAGAAAGGGAGATGGCCATCGACAGTTCCAATACGGCTCCAAGGCGGAAGAGGGGGAGGAGGAGCAGGACAAGGAGGAAAGGAGAGAAGCGAGAAAGGAAGAACGCAGACGGCGCGGCTCTGGACACAAAGGGGTGCCATACTTTCTCCTGCTTTCGCAAACAGGTCCAGTCACACGTAGGGGTATACTCAACCGAATGGTCTTCGCATCCAGAAGCATACTAAAGGCGCGACGCATCGTCGTCTGCGATGGCGCGGAGCGGGCGCGTGGGTGCCCGGCTGCCTGGCTGAGATTTCGAGATTTTTCGGATGAGAAAGTAGTGCGTTTTCATATGTTTTCTGAACATCGCATCTTGAAATTATTGAAAACCCATTGTGTTTGGCAGGATTTCGACATGCGCGCGCGGCGGCCGCGCGCATGTGCACTTCGTCTCATTTTTTGCAAGGGATGGTGGCCCTCGCAGGCGCGCAACCGTTGTTGGAGAAGTTCAAAGCACCTGAAGAAGTAGCACGCAAAGACCCTTTTGACAGAAATGTTTAAAAAGTGGTGTGTTTCCTATGAATCCGCAAGAGCGCGCGGAAGGACATTTTGACAATTTTTTCTTAAAAAACCATTGGGTTTTTGATGTTTTTATGTTAAAATCGCTACGAAACCTAAGGTTTTGGAAGGATTTCGTCTTGCGAGCGCGAATGTCCACTTTACCTTATTTTTTGCAAGGGATTCTTGAAATTTGATCAACTAAGAACAAGAATTTTCATTTTCTATTGTTTTTTGCAAGGGAAAACGAGCGTCAACAAAAAACCGGATCCGGGGGTAATCCACTTTTCTGAAGCTTTCGCAGAAAAATGATGAAAATGTAGCTGCGGCCTAGGCGCGGCGCAGAGGTCGCGCACCAGGGGTCCCAACAATAATAATTCTTTAGAAGGAATAATGTTCAACAACAACAACAACAACAACAACAACAACAACAACAACAAGAAGGTCGACACTGCACCTAACCCCCCGTTCACCGGGCAGCTGGGTCAATGCTTGTCCTTAAGGACAACCCTTGACCTAACCCACCGTGGTCAGCCCCCCCTCAGCAACCAGCAACCAGCAACCAGCAAGCGGACCTCAAGTTTCGCATTGGAAACCCTCTGGGCTCCTTAAGGCAGCCCATGCACTCCCACGAGATGAAACCATGCGCGCGCCGCCGAGCCGACCTCCGGGACGCAGACTCCGTGTGGAATCCTATAGAATCCCCAAGGAAGCCTATAGAACTCCTCGGGATTCCTAAGGATTTCTAAGGAGTCCTATGGGATCCCTAGGGGATTGCTAAGGGATCCCAAGGAATCCTATGGGAATCCTATGGGAATCCTATAGGAATCCTATAGGATCCCTAAGGAAACCTATAGAAATCCGACGGAAGTCTATGGGATTCCTAAGGATTCCTAAGCAATCCCATGGGATTCCTAAGGAATCCTGTGACACCTCATGGGGTCCCTAAGGCATCCCTAGGAATCCGAGGGCATCCCCAGGAATCCTATGGAATCCGCACGAATGCTGAAGCATCCCTAGGAATCCTAGGGAATCCCTAGGAATCCGATGGAATCCTCACGAATGTTAAGGCATCCCTAGGAATCCTAGGGAATCCTTAGGAATCCTAGGGAATCCTCACGAATGCTAAGGCACCCCTAGGAATCCTAGGGAATCCTTAGGGATCCCTTAGACTCCGATAGAATCCGCACGAATGCTAGAGCATGTTTAGGAATCCTATGGAATCCGAATGAATCCCTAGGAATCCAAAGCAATGCCTCGGAATCCGTATCCTGCGGAATCCCTAGGAATCCTCACGAATCCCCAGGAATCCTAAGGAATCCTAGGGAATGCCTAAGACTCCTAAGGAATCCATAGAAATCCAAAGGGAATCCTAGGACGCCTAAGGATTCTGTAGGAATCCCTGGGACTCTTGAGATATCCCTAGGACTCCTGAGGGATCCCTGGGACTCCTTAGGGATCCCTGGGAATCCCCAAGAATCCGTGGTCATCCCTAAACATCCCTAGGAGACCTACGGAATCCCAAGGACTCCTAAAGAATCCCTAGGACTCCCGAGGAATCCCTAGGAATCCCTGGGAATCCCTTGGGTACGCCTAGGACTCCAATGGAAACCCTAAGGAATCCAAAGGAATCCTAAGGAATCCATGGGAATCCTGAGGAATCCCTAGAACTCTTTAGGAATCCCTCGGACTCCTTAAGAATCCCTGGGAAGCCATGGGAACTGTTGGGGATCCCTGGGGCTCCTAAGGAATCCCCTGGACTCCTTAGGGATCCTTAGGACTACTAAGGAATCCCTGGGACTCCTACGGAATCCCTAGGACTCTTAGATCCCCTTGGGATTCCCAAGGAATCTTGAAAATCCCCTGTAGGGGTTCTCAGAATCCTGGGGAATCCCTGGGGCTCCTTA